AAGAGACAGGTGTCCCCCAGTTCCACGGGTCCCCAAGCCCCTATGCCCCCTCTGTCCCCAGTGGGCCTCCCCGTGCCCCGTGGCGCCCCCGCCGCCATGGAGGGGGCTCTGCTGTCTCCTGTGGGCCCCCCCATTCCTCGTGGGCCTCGCCAGGGTCCCCCCCTTCCCCCATGGGGCTCCTCCTTCCTCCACGGGCTCCCCATTTTCCTCACCCCCATTTTAATATATATATTTTTAACGCCGGAGCTGCCCATCCTGTCGAGGCCTGAGTCATGTCCCACCCTGTCCCACGGAAGGTGGAGACGTTCCCCTCCCTGGTCCCAAACCAGGCGCAGCCTCCGGTCCTGGCAGATCCTCCCTTTCACGGGCAAAACCCCTCCTAATTGTGTGAGTTAGAAAACTACCGGCAGAGAACAGATTGTTCCTGTCTGCTGCTTTGCTGCGTGCGTGTAAATAGTTGTGTGTCATTTACCATCTGGCAGAGGGATCCGAGTACCGAGGCGGCGGTGGTGCTGGGTGCCAGGCAGGAGGTACCGGCACCGCGAGCGGTTCCTACGGCTCGGAGGCTGCCAGCGGCGCGGGGCTCAAACAAATTAATTTCTGATCATTATTAAGACTAAACTAGTTTGCTTATGCTTTGCTTTGTTTGTTTCTCAAGGACTCCTGACTCCTCAACTGTTTCCTTAGGTCTCTCTGTTTAGGTGAGATTAAAACGCCCATCAGGCTCCCCACGGAAATCACCGGGAGGGGACTCAAGGCCTTCAGTGGACACTTGGGCAACTCCCAGAAGGAGCTACGGGGAGTTTGAACAGAGACGCAGAGACCCTGTTACAGGGAGGATGATTCTGCTGGTTTAGGAAGGAGGCACCTGGACTTTCCTTCACAGCGCACGCTCTGGAGAGAAGGTCAGTTAGTGAACGCTGTGAAGAAGTCTGCTTACTTCCTCCCTCAACCACAGAAACCCCTCACCCTATTTTCACTACACATGCTCAGTCTGTGTAAATGAATTCTGAGAACTCATTATCATAAGACACCCCTTTTCTTAGAAATATAATGAAAATATATGATTTGTGTGTACGTAAACGGATGTCCCTTACTAATCTCTTATGGTGGAGAATCCCCAAGGTGACCTCAGCGCTGCTAGTAAAGAATTCCTACTTAAGAGTAAAAAAACCAACTTCACCGTTGAGGCGATTTCTTTGTTTCACCATCACACTGGGCGTCCCCAGCCCCTCTCCTGCCAGGGGGGTGGATGCAGAGGGTGAGGTGGGAGGGATAGGCTCCAGATGCATTTTAGGGGACCATCTGCCTACACTTGTCCATGAATGAGCAAAACACATGAGGGTGAGCTCCCTGCCAGCAGCTCTGCCCGTCCCAAAGAGGTCGTGGGTGCGTGTGCCCTCAGCTGGGGACCCTGCGCCTGCCACGGCTGCTTCCCTGCGGCTTTGCGATGGCATTTCAGTGAGCCTGGAGTCACCGCAGGCAGGCAGAAACGGTGAGTCAGGCCCCAGAACTGCCGGGCTCGGCTGCTGCTCACGTTCAGTGACGTGTTTTTGAAGCTGAGGGCTGTTCAGCCTTTGGGGTTTTTTTTTCAGATGATTTCTGGATGCAGAGATTTGGGGGGCTTGCGTTTCCCAGTTTGGTTTTGCAGTAATAGTAGTTATGGGAGAGACTAAATTCCTAAAAAAAAGACCCCTTGTGCCAGCTGAAATGGTCACATCTTCATTTCTTGGAGGATTTGGGAGCACAAACCCCCCTGCCTGGGACGAGGCTCACGGCAGACGCCGGCGGTCAGTCACTACCCCTCCACATAAGCAGCGTCTCCCACCCACCGCCGAATCAGGAATGACTCCACAGCACGTGGAGCAAACAACGATCAACTCCTCAATCTGTTCGTTCTTTTTTTTTTTTTTTTTTTTTTTTTTTTTTTCCTCTCCCTTTTAATTGCTTGTGATCACTCTCAAGCTGTAACCCAGCCTCGGTGAATGTGATTCATCTTGGCTGCTGTTAAGGCAGAATGGGAAGGTTACAACGCTGCTCTTCGCTGCATCGTGATATACCCTGCCTGTGGAATAATCTATAGCTGGCATTATGGGGCCATATATCTTCTTGAATTGCAACACCCTAAATGCGACAAATAGCCACTTAATCGATAGGAGTTCATTCTCTGTTCTCCTTCTCTATGGAAAATTGGGCAGAGTCCCAACCTGTTTCCATAGGAACGGTTGGGAGACTGGGAGAAGTGCCGGCTGCCGAAGGCCCGGCATTAACGCAGCCACAGCGTCTGCTTCACGCTGGCAGAAGCTCCAGCGGCCTCCCGACATCGCGGCCACGCAAAGCCGAGTCGATTTGTGCTGGAGATAAGGAGCTGCCGGCTGATAACCGGCTTACGCGCGGGTACCTGCGTTATCCCCGCAGATTTTGTCGGAGGATGGAGAGGGCTCCTTTGTTCACCCAGCACCAGCACCCCAGGGTGCCAAGGCTCATCCTGCCC